ATGATTCCAATTACATGACATTTTGGAAAAGGCAAAACTATGGAGACAGTAAAAAGAACAGTGGTTGCCAGGGGTTGGGTGGGGGGTAGATGAATAGGCAGAGTACAGAGGATTTTTAAGGCACTGCAACTGTTCTGTACGATACTACAATGGTGGATATATGTCATAATACATTTGTCCAAACCCAAAGAATGTAAAATACCAAGAGTGAACTCTAACGTATTAAACTATGGACTTTGGGTGATAATAACATGTCAATGTAGGTTCATGGACTGTAAAAAATATACTACCCTAGTGGCAGATGTTGATAATGGGGAGGCTGTGCGTGAGTACGTAAATGGGAACCTTTGTACTTTCTGCTCAGTTTTGCTGTGAATGTAAAACTTCCCTTAAAAATAAAGTCTATTAATTTTTGAAAATGTTAAAATTTACGGTATTCCAGAAATTACATCTTTTACAACTGTTTAAACTTAGGATGGAAAATTTAAATGTCAGCTTAAAAATCTGTAAGAAGGTATATAGTTTTTCAAAATTCTTTCTGGGATTGTGGGGAACAAAGAGTGAAGACTCTTAGTCTAAGAATGGTTTTTAACAAAGCTTCGGCATCCGCTAGGAAGCATTTTTGGAAATTTGTAGGGCATCTTTAGTTGTCACTATGATTGGAGGCAGCAATTGGCATTTAGTGGGCAGGGTGCCAACAATGTTAAACATCTTTTTTTAAGTATTTATTTTATTTATTTATTTATTTGGCTGCACCGGGTCTTAGTTGCAGCATGAGGGGGTCTTTAGTTGCGGCATGTGGGATCTAGTTCCCTGACCAGGGATCGAACCCAGGCCCCCTGCATTGGGAGCATGGAGTCTTAGCCACTGGACCACCAGGGAAGTCCCTAAACATCTTGCTATGTGTGGGGCAGCCCCACATGAGAATTTTCTAACATCCTGTAAGATTTCTGAATGTCTCTGCATAATTATTTTAAATTATTTGAATCTAGACCCTAATTTTGTTTTGCATATAACTGCAAAGTATTTCTGGAACAGCTGTGATAAATGCTGAATTTTAGAGGAAGGCAACTACTATATACATCGAAGGAAAATTGTTCTTTGTCATGGGATTTGAGCTACCATGCCCCTGTAGAAATCTGCCTACACACAGGTGGTTGGAGATTCTGTTTAACAGACTAGGAATCAAATACAATTAAATTAGTGGAGACACATGAAATATAGGCTTACACTGAATTTTTTAAAAATTTTATTTTTTTTAATTTTTAGCTGTGTTGGGTCTTTGTTGCTGTGTGCAGGCTTTCTCTGGTTGCAGCAAGTGGGGGCTACTCTTCGTTGCGGTGCGTGGGCTTCTCATTGCAGTGGCTTCTCTTATTGCAGAGCACGGGCTCTAGGCACACGGGCTTCAGTAGTTGTGGCTCACGGGCTCTAGAGCGCAGGCTCAGTAGTTGTGGCGCACGGGCTTAGTTGCTCTGTGGCATGTGGGATCTTCCTGGGCCAGGGCTCGAACCCGTGTCCCCTGCATTGGCAGGCGAATTCTTAACCACTGTGCCACCAGGGAAGCCCGGCTTACACTGAATTTTATTTTTTTTATAAATTTATTTTATTTTATTTATTTTTGGCTGTGTTGGGTCTTTGCTGCTGCTTGCGGGCTTTCTCTAGTTGTGGCGAGCAGGGGCTACTCTTCGTTGCAGTGCGTGGGCTTCTCATTGTGGTGGCTTCTCTTGTTGCAAAGCATGGGCTCTAGGCGTGTGGGCTTCAGTAGTTGTGGCACATGGGCTCAGTAGTTGTGGCTCACAGGCTCTAGAGCTCAGGCTCGGTAGTTGTGGTGCACGGGCTTAGTTGCTCCGTGGCATGTGGGATCTTCCCAGACCAGGGCTCGAACCCATATCCCCTGCATTGGCAGGCAGATTCTTAACCACTGTGCCACCAGGGAAGTCCCTACACTGAATTTTATTAATAGGGTGGTTAAAAATATTTCATAGTGGACTTCCCTGGTGGTGCAGTGGCAGAGAGTCTGCCTGCCGATGCAGGGGACACGGGTTCGTGCCCCGGTCCGGAAAGATCCCGCATGTTGCGGAGCGGCTAGGCCTGTGAGCCAGGGCCGCTGAGCCTGCGCATCTGGAGCCTGTGCTCCGCAACGGGCGAGGCCACAACCGTGAGAGGCCCACGTACCGCGACAACAACAACAACAATATTTCATAGTGTTGCCAATTATCTTAAATAGAATAATAATATATCAGTGGAGAAAATAACATACTGAAATTATTTATTATTGTTTACATTGCTTGTAGGTTTTCACTCTTGCTCTGTCACTGTCTCCAGAAGGCTGCCTACCACGTTTTTACAGCTTCATGTATTACTGCTTCATTTCCCATCTATACTCTAGTCCCCATCACCTACCAAAATATATGGTCTCCATGGTTGTCTTAGTAGTTTAACATGCCCTTGGCTTCCACGGAGAATCCATGTACTAGCCATTGAGGGGGGTAGCTACGTTTCTTTGTAAATCTGCTAGAGAGAGAGGACACCGTTTACTGCATTACTCGATGCTGCTTAGGCAACAGCCCTCTGAAACATCGCAGAACTCAGGGCAGGAAGATCTGGTTCTTCATCGGGGAGCAGTAACAGCTCTAACATCTGAGAGCTATGGAATGACCCTGTGGCTCCTTCTGCCATAGCCGTGAAGAAGTTCAGGACTTCTTGTGGGAGCTGTTCTCCTTCCCTTTTGCTTTAATTCTCGGCTCTGAACTCCTGTCCATATTCATTTCTCTGAGTACCACATCACCTGTGCTTTTATGGAAAGTCTCCTTAAGACATAACAAGTCAACAAAGTAACGCATCTAGGGCTTCCCTGGTGGCGCAGTGGTTGAGAGTCCGCCTGCCGAGGCAGGGGACGCGGGTTCGTGCCCCGGTCCGGGAAGATCCCACGTGCCGCGGAGCAGCTGGGCCCGTGAGCCATGGCCGCTGAGCCTGCGCATCCAGAGCCTGTGCTCCGCAACGGGAGAGGCCACAACAGTAAGAGGCCCGCGTACCGCAAAACAAAACAAAACAAAACAAAACAAATAACGCATCTAGTTGTAGCTACCACGTTTTCTCCACTTGTCCCAACATTCTCATATAGGCTGGTGGGAAGATCACCACACAAGGAAGGTTCTGTGCTCTGGCTTTCGTGTGCCCTTCACTTCATTCAAGTCTCTGCACAGGTGTCAACACTCCAGAGGGTCCTCCCCTGACCTCCATACCTGAAATGTCCCTCCTTGCCCCACCAGCCACTCTTT